GGTCTTGCTCCCACCTCGATATTCCCAGAGTCTTTCATCAAAGGAGGAGAAACTGCTCCAAGGAGTGAGGGCAAGAGAGTGAGTGTGGAAAACTCTGCCTTTGAGTCATCTCTCTGTGTTTCTCAACCTTAGCCACTTGAAGATGCTAGGACTTCAACTCCCAGAATTCCCCAGCCAGCCATGCTGGGGGTTGAAGTCCTGGCATCTTCAAGTGGCTAAGGTTGAGTAATACTGACCTATCTCATATCCTACATATTGTATATGGAACATCCAGCATTCCAAACTGAGGTGAATGCACCTGAAGAACACTATCCTCTAATCAATAGCAACATTAATTTTATGCTTTTATTTACTATCCTGGATTAAGACTAAAAGAATGTAGACTTCCTAGTGCATTTATGAACTGGAGACTTCCCATTCTAGTTCTCCTCAGAGGCTTCTTGTCTTCTACTATTAAATGCTACCTGCTCGAAGAGAAATCAATATTACTTCCTCAAGGGAACAATAGCTCTGTTTATATTTAAACATTCCCACAGTTTACTGTACATGAGCCTCCAAGTGGAACCAGAAACAGACTACGGGGTGCAAAAGGGAACCGAAGCTAACAGGCAGCCAAAGATAAGAGTGATCATTAAAATAGATAAAAAACACTCTAGGAATGGAGATATCTATACTGAAATATAACAGGGTCAATTATTGTTTCTGTAATTAAAGGCTGTCCGGGTAACAATTAAATGGCAAATTGTGACGACCACATTCACTCAAGCACAACTGCAAATTTGAACTTTATTACTTCTGCTCTAATTTTTGTCATCATGTATGGAGGAGGGCGTAAGACAGAATCTACATAAGGCTTATTTAATTCCATTTATTCCTTCCCCACCCCCTACCCCAAATCCTGACTCTTCAGTGCAACTTCAGAGCCTATCTACTATTAACATCTTATTAATGGTATTTTTTAATGATTCCCAGTGCTTGTGTTTTATGGTTTGATTCTTTGTATTGTGTTTTATTTATTTTATTGTAAGCTGTCCAGAATTATGTAAATCAAATACCAGTAAATAAATAAATAAAAACTATGACTCTATTTGGCTGTTTTTATATGTTGTATAGAGACTTATATGATCTAGAACTTCACAAAGACACATACTTTCTTTCCCTTTATTTTTTAGCTTCTGCCATCATTAACTATGTTCCTGTCACATATCTGCTACCATTATATAAATAAGAGCTGGTACTTCTGAGGAGGAGGAAAACGGGAAGGGAGTAAAAGGAACATTTTTTTCTGTACATTCTATCTATTTTCTAATAATTTCTCCTACCTTATATGTCAACTTGAGACAAAAATCCAACAGCCTACATCATCTATTATTGGCAGCATATCTTTAGAATTTACGCAATACAATTTTAAATTATTGAAAAAGAGTTGCAAATGAGTCCAGGTGCCTTAGAAGAGCCAATAAATGTGTTGTCCTGGGTAGGAATTATGTATCTTCTTTGCACACTTACCTTTGCAGCAACAGATTTTTGTATTGAGCATGAGGCCAGTTCCTTTTTTTATGAACATGCTTGTAACACTGGCATTCAACAAAGAGAACAGAACCCTGGGAAAGTATTCAGAATTTTATGTGGAACATCCACATTCTTTGAAGTTTGTGCCGAACAGAAACAACACATATTTTCTGCTCCAAAGAGAATAGTTCTCGTGGCCAGTTCAGATTCTGATTTGCACCTTATATTCGCTGAATTCCATATATTGTACTGGCAAAACATACTGTATTTCCAAACAGCTTATTTGGCAACAAATGTTGAAAAATCAACAATCCCCTTGGATTTAAATTAATTTGAATATTTATTGAATAGTTTGAACTGTTTATCCTTTTGGCACCATAATGTATGTAAGTTGCTGAAAGGAAAATTAAACCTTCATACCTCACTTGATGTGCTTGAGGGAGACAGGCATTCAAGAGAACATGTTTGCATTGTGCAGAGTCAGTATTTCTATTTCCACTAGATTCATGCAACATAAATTCTTACATGCATCCCGGTATGAACAATTATTTGGTAATTTCTGTATCCCTTTTTTGTGTAGACATTATATGTAGCCAATTTAGATTTGTACATTGTTTATTGTACACTCCAATAAAGTATCTCTTGAGCCAGGATGTTCTCACGGTTAACCTACAGCATATTTAAGCACAATTGCATAGGTTGATTATACAAGATAGACCTTGGCTCTCTGCCTAACACTTTTATTGAGTAAGCTGACTGTCTAGTAAACTGCCTACTCTAAGCTGCCTTATTGTTGTTACAATAAAGATGAGAAGTTCCATAGTAAGTATTATATATCAAAGTGCTCAAAACACTGGTGACTTAGCTGAAGCTGATACATATCTCTTCCTCCCTGCAAAAAGTTCTACAATTTCTTTCTTTTCTTTCCATTGCCAAATGCCATATGGCAAGAGTTCATCTATAAATTATAGGCTGTATTTCTTACAAATAGCCAGAAAGGTACTTTTTAAAAAAAATAAATAAAAGCATTTGTATGGACTACAAATACATCTAGTAACATCTCAACATTTTACATATATGTTAATAATCAGGAACATTATTTTCAAAGGAAAATTATCTATACCTTTACTTCTACCTATATGGTATGAAGTTGTATGTCCACATAAGCACAGGTACGGAGAAGTATCCATCAGAGAGAAGGCAAGAGAAAAGAACAGAAAGAAAGACATAATAAAAAAAACCAAAAAAAATTAGATCACACTGCACATCACTTGAACGTAAACCAAGAACACAGCACAAAAGAAACAATACTCAAAAGCACACTTATTAAAACAAAAAAAAGTAGAATCACAAACTACACACAGTGCAGATTAAAATATATTCTTAAACTCTTTAACTCCAATTTTATATGGAGAAAGGCCAAGCTCTCCTTATAGAAGCATGTTAAAAATCCAGAAAAACACATCAAATTGACCATAAAGAAAATAAGATTAAAACAAAGAAAAAGAGAACAGTATTCTGTGGAAATATATTTTCCACCTACCCACAATGGTGTAGGATGAATAGCTTGCGTAATTGTACTGGGTATATAAAGACACACTGAATTTTATATTATATTCCCACTGTATTTAAAAATACAATTATTTACACAGAGACATTAACATGTTACACACACTATATAATTTTGATCAACTTAGGGAAAGAATTAGCTGGAAAGAGAAATATAGGTGCTCAAAAGAATGAGGCTAAGAAAGAAAAGTGAAAGAAATGTCAGATGACCAAATATGACTAAATATAAGGAACATAAAGAAACACATCCATGTTTGCCTTTAAATTGAATGGACTGCATCTTTCAGCTTACCAACTAAAAAAACCAAATTAGTTTGGCTTATGCATAACATTGTTATTTTTGCTTAGCAAAATAGGATATCTGTCCACTTTAGTTTAACATGAAAGCCACACTACTATGTTCATTTAACAAACCCCGGTTTAAAAAATGCTAGCTTAATGCAATATGTCCTACTGGCCAGCACCACTCATCAATATTCCAAATTAGCTGTGCTGGGAATTCACTTTTCATTTCTTGCTATGGCCAGCAAACAGAAGTATACACTTCTTCAGTATTAAAATGACTATTTGACTTACAGAAGTATACTCTACAAATATATCTCATAGCGAAAGATGCAAGAATCAGACATTTGGGTAACCCTGATTTCATCCTGCCTTTTTCTTTCCAGACTATTTTTAAAAAGGTACATTCATCCTCTGGCTAGAGCTAGCAATAACAGTGTAAATGGGGTTATCAGCTCCCAAACTGTGCCATCTATCAAAACATGGATAACCTGCCATATGACATGTTTCTATTTGTTCCAATGGCGCTAAAGTGGAACACTTGAATTCCATTCTGAATTTTATACATTATACATTTATACATCTTAATGTGGTGATCCCAGCTCTTTAGCTCCTGGCCTCCTGTTTGATGAGATGAAGATACATGCCCAATTATTATTATGGTTGGTCAGACAGCCAGATGTTTATAGACTGGATTTGGCACATATACCCGAATAGATACTGAGTCCTTCCCAAGGACCTGGGATAGGCAGATGTTGTTTGCTGGTACCATTGCAGGATATAAGCTGTTCCAAGTAAAGCTGCCTTTTGCAATTGACTGATGGTGATTTTGTCAATGTTGTTGATGTTCAAATGTTGCTCCAGTTGTTTTGAGATTGCACCCTAGAAGCCTATCACTATTAGCACTATCTTGGCTTTATTTTGCCATAATCATTCTACTTCTATTTGCAGGTTTTGGTATTTTTGTATTATTAATTATTATTACACCATCTAACTCCCAGCAACATGTCTATCTGAATCTTTCATAATCTGATATGGAATACTCCAACTGTATCATTTCTTTATGATCAGCATAACACCAATGTATCTGTTCTGTGACTTTCAAATAATGCATCACAATAGGCAACTCAAATTCAATAAGCATGACTCCTGTTTTAGAGTTAACTCTTTCTGCAGACCAATCCTGCAGAACAAAATGTATGTATAAAACTATAAAACTTAATGCTGCAAAGTGACAGGAGAGTGACTGTTAGCTATAAATGTTGCCTCCCAGGTCCTTGGTCCATGCCATGAAAACTGTCATCATGATCTTACATATCACTGACTAATTTTGAGGGCCAGTGACTAACAAGACACTGTACTAGAGTTGAAAACATGAAGGTTACACTTCCATATAAGAGAAGGAAATTTTTGCATTTCTCTTCCAATGTTGCTTTTATATGTATATATTCATTTACTCCAATACATTGGACTTCGGGTTATGAACATTATTTTCTGTAGAGTCTAGCAGCCGGGCAAATGAGTGATACAAATGCAAAAGTTTGGAGAAGATATATAGCATCTTGATTGTTTTCCAAAAGGGTTGCTGATTGAAGCTTTAATTAGTTGCTGAAGAAGGCAGGAAAGAAAAGACTTACCTTGTTCGCTCATCATCAGATGTGAAAGGCCTTTGAGAAACAGAAAGAAAGTAAATAAGACAGAATAAAGCAGAAAGAAAACATAGAAAGACATGTGTACCTTTATATAGCTCAATAATTTGGGGAATATCACATACTTCATCAATGAATGTATGTCTGTTATATTCCTTGCATGCATGTACACATACACACACGTGCACATGTCCAGAGCTTCCTCTATTACAGGGGAAAGTCTGGACAGCAGAGGAAAAAAAAAGAATACAGGTCCTGTAATCCTCAACATACAACCACAATTGAGCCCAAAATTACTCTTGTTAAGTGAGACATTTGTTCAGTGAGTATTGCCCCATCTTTACCACCTTTCTTGCCACAGTTGTCAAGTGAATCACCAAAGTTAAATTAGTAACCTGGTTGTTAAGTGAATCTGGCTTCCCCATTGATTTTGCTTGTCAAAAGATTGCAAAAAGTGATCACATGCCCTTGGGACACAGCAATGGTCATAAGTATGGGTCAGTTGCCAAGCATCTGAATTTTTATCACATTATCATGGGGATTCTACAAAGGTTGTAAGTGTGGAATGCCATTGTAACTTTGAATGCTCACTAAATGAATTTTTGTAAGTTGAGGACTACCTGTAAACATTCCATCAGTGTCAGTGAGACTGATTTTAAGAAAAGAAATACATTCATAATTAGTTGTTTGTGTTAAGTAACAAGCCCTGGAAAGAAAAGCAACACAACTAATAATGGTTTTGAAGACAATCATCCTCATTGTATTGCAAATATTATAAAGGTGTCATGCCAAAATTCTGGTGCATGTTCTTCATTAAGAGTTCATCATCCATCATCAACCTCAAAACACCACTGCAGTTCTTCAACCATTTTTAATTCACTTTGATAGCATGTCAGGATATCAAATAAACCTATCAGATTTCACAACCAATACTAGCCTTTAGATTAGTAATTTAAAGAGCAATGCAAATCCTCCTGAATAAATGCTTTGAAACATACGGAAGTACATTTTGAAATCATTAACGCAGCCAAATGTTTTCTACGTTCATGGGAGGAGTTTCTTAAGCAGCCTGGGAAAACCAGCTGTGTGAAAGATTTAAGAAATGTTTTCTATGGATTTTTGGATGTTCAAAAGCATCTCTTTCAAAGGATTTGCACAGCGCTAGTAATTTAGTCATCTTTTCTTTTTTTCTTTACTTCTAGAAACCTAAATCCAAATCATTCAAAGTAAGTAAATATTCATCCAAAAGAATTCTTGAATTGATGGCATGCACATATATATATAATTCTTAATTCTTGTGATTAAGAATTTTATGTGAAGGTTTGTGTGTGTGTTGTAGAATGGAAGAAGGGAGGTAGATAGAATTATCAGAAACTACAGTGAGAAATTCTTGTCCCGTGACTGCAATAGATTTGACTTAAGATATGTTCCCAATTTTTTGTTTGAATAAACTGTAAGACATGAATGGCAGTATTTTTACTTCATCTACATGGCAGAGTACAGTTCGATTTAAGGTTGAAACTGTGACAGTAGCCTAGAAAAAAGTAATGAAAATAATGATGGTTCAATAGTGGAAAACCATTTAAGTCCAACTACAAATGAAAAAAAGAAAAAGGAATTTAAAGCACTGAAAAATCAATGTCAGAATACTTGGATACATGACTGAATTTTTAAAAAGCATTCTAAATCTTATCAATTATCAATTTGTGTCTCGGGCACTGCAAATGTTGGTTCATTGTTTGAGATATATGGGATTGTATTGATGTTTTTAATTTTTGATAATAATGTTGTATATTTACCAGCTGTGGTTGCTGTTTAGAATTCAAAATATCCAAAGGAAAATAATCCAGATGCTAAGGATCTGGAAGGAAAAAACTGCAGGCAGTTGTAGATGCTGGGTATGTTTAGACTAGAGATTGCAAGGAAACATAACTATGTTTAAGTATTTGATGGCTATCATGTAAAAAATGGGGCAGAAGTGCTCAGGGTTGTTTCTTCAAAGAAGACAAGAAATAATAGATTCAAATTACAATGAAGCAAATTGTGGCTGGATATCAGACCTAATGTAAAAACTGTTCAACCATGGAACAGATGTATGCAGTTAATGATCATCTCTTGAAGATGATACCAAACCGGATTTCTATAGTGAGCAGAAGGTTGGACTAGATTATCTCCAATGTCCCTTTCATTCCATGAGTCTGCGAAAAGTTGATCTGTGATTTTAATATTTTAAATGGTTTAATGTTACTTTAAGGTTATCTAAAAACACAACACGATTATGCTTTATACATGATGCATCCATTATATGAAAATGTTTGCACTGCAAGGGACTTGGTAAGTTTTTGATATTAGGACTATATTCAATATGTCCTACAAACAGGACTCCCAATAGTGCCTTGCTATAATCCTAGGGTTTTTTTTAAGCTTGTCTGATAAATTCAGCTAACTCATTATATTTTACAGATGACTGTTACAGTATTCAGATCCCTGATTAACTGTAATGACATATTTTTCATGCCTGCAGTCTATTGATCAAAAGCAAAACAGATATGTTAATAATAAATAATTTAAGAATATGCAATTTAATATAAGGTTTTATTCATCCAATTGTCTGGTAATATTAATACACTTCGGGATTTAGGCAATTATTTTCCAACAAGAAAACAGAATTTCATAATGCTGATAATAAAACACAGGACATCCCTGTGTTTACTGCATGCTTTGGATTTGTCTATGTGATTATGTGCTTTTAGAACAAGTGCTGATGTTTTGTCAGAAATGATACTGATAATAACCTTGCAGCATAAAATGACATATTTATTGATTATATCCAAAGTTGTTCTCTGCAGAGGCTTTCATCAGCTGGAAGGAGAAGATTGTATTAAACTATCCCCCCATTAACCTCACCTAGACAGCTCAGGGGGAAAATAGAATATATTTTTTTTATTAAACAACTTTATATAGCTGCCCAGCTCACACACATGGAAGGTAACATAAGCACAGGAAGACTTGGTTTTAAAAAAATTAATTAATGGCTATTTTCGCCTACTTTCCCTCCTCGACTATAAGAGGGAAAAATTAATACTCAGGAAATCTCTCGTCTTCAACCTGGGGACATTGTTTTTACATCATTTTACACTGTCGCCAGCAATGTAGTACTTTCTCTGCAAGATGTTCCTGGTCATTTTAAAGGAACGTATCTGATGATTTAATGAATGAATCACTCATGATTCCTGGTTATTTTGTATTCTGAAACTCATTTCTCAGTTTTAAAAAAGGCAAATGTGAAATGGCACATAAGTTGATTAACTTTATTTATATACGATATTCTAAATGACTTTGTCAAAAATGGCTGTATAGAATGACTTAACAGCAGAAAGACTTATCTAAATTTGATAAATTTGGCAGGTGGGAAACCATGAATCAAATATAAGATGTTACAAAATAGCAATAGCAATTAGACTTACATACTGCTTCACAGTGCTTTACTGCCCTGTCTAAGTGGTTTACAGAGTCAGCCTATTGTCCCCAACAATCTGGGTCCCCATTTTACTAACCTCAGAAGGATTGGAAGGCTGAGTCAACCTTGAGCTGGTCAGGATCGAACTCTTGACTGAGGGCAGAGTCAGCCTGCAATACTGCATTCTAACCACTGCGCCACCATGGCTCTTATAGATGCTAAAGAAAGAGGAGGTTTGGATTTATGTAGTTTGAATTTATTTTTTGCAGCTTGTTGTTTGATGGAAGAGTGGGCGATGCTGAAAAAAAATGACTGGAGTTCGGAGGAAATGATTTGAAGTTTAAGGTTCAAATTCAAGGCTAAGGTTAATATAAATTTCAAAAATCCTTTTATCAGACATGTCACATTGACAACATGGAATAGATATAAACCGAAAATATCCATGTCCGAAAATATATTGTGGCTTTCATCACAAGAAGCATATTATAGAAGAGAAATTATAACTAAATTCTAATGGTGACATATCAGAATTCTCTCAGGGAGAATCCAGAATTAAATCATGAGAAGATTTGATATTAGAAGGATATAATGTGTCAATGGTTTTCTTATGTACAATTATAGAAAGACCTGAAATAGATAGACTTTTGTTTTTGAACATTGTAAGACTGAATTGAAAGAGGATTAAGTACAAATGATGAAAATGTTATGGCTAAAATATATACATTTTACTGAAATTTGAAATAGAAGCACAAGCAAAAGAATGATAAAATGGGCTAAAAATTTTGGTTATAACCTACAAATAGAACAATGGGATAATATGAAGATGAAAAGGTTGAAATTTATATTGTGTAATAATCTTGAAGCGATTTTTTTAAAAAAAATGATGTATTATTGGTATATGCCACTATAAAAACTGTCTAAAATGTATAAAGGTACTTCAAATTAATGCTGAATGTGAACAAGAGGTGACTTTTTATCATACCTGATAGACATGTAAAAAAATGGATCTAGATATATACAACATTAATGCAGATGATTTTAAATATACAATGAAGCCATAGGTACTTTGGGGACTGACAAAAAATTAGGAAAAAAATCATGAAACTGTTTTTATAAATCATAACTGCAATGAGACTTTTCTATGCAGAACAGTAGAAAAATTTGACATCCACAGTTGAAGAATCGATGGTGAAAATGATGGAGCTTGCAGAGATGGCTAAATTGATTAGAAAAAAGACACTAATTAAGTTTAATGCCAGTAGGAAACCCCTTTTGGACTTTTTGCTCAAAACCGAAAAAAATAAAATTATGATATATGGGTTTGGAGAATAAGAACCCAGAGAATAAAAGTTTAAATGAAATTTGTATCTATAATTGCTGTAATCATTTCTTTACATGTATTTATTTATTTTCCACACTTTTCCTCTTTCTTTTTTCTTTTCTTTTCTTTTTTTTTGGTTTCATCTTAAATATTTTTTTGTTAGTTTTTATCTTTCTTGTTTAAAAATCTAATAAAGTTATTATTAAAAAAGCCAGATTTAATTATGATAGACCTCAA